GTATTGAGGAGGGCACCTTTTGGGATGAGCACTGGGTGTTGTATGGAAACCAATTTGACAATAAATTTCATATATCGAAAAAAAAAAAGATTGTGGTTTCCAAGGGTTGAGGGGAGCAGGAGGGGTGAGCAGAGCACAGAGAATATTTAGTGTAGTGAACCTACTCACTATGATACTACAGTGGTGGATACATGCCATTGTACATTTGTTCAAAACCATAAAATGTGTAACACCAAGAGTGAACCCCTGGTAAACTGAGGACTTTGGGTGATACAATGTGTCAACATAGGTTCATCCATTGTGAAAGGTACACCACTGCCATGGGGAAGTTGATAATGGGAGAGGCCGTGCAGAAGGTGGAATAGAAACCTCAGTATGTGCTTCCTAAGTTTTCATTGAACCCTAAAATAGCTGAAAAAAATGAAAACCTTTAAAAAATTAAATTCAGAGACATGAAATGAAGAGTCAAAGCATTTTAGAAAAATGGTTCTACTAGAAACATTACCTAATGAGCCTCCTTTTGGAATAAAGATCTCAATTGCTTCTCAGCCTTTTGGCTAAGATCAAGTGTGAATGAAGATCTCAAATTTTCCTTTTAAATCAATCTTAAAAATTATATAAGCAGTCCTGGCTGGAAATTTTGAACCTCCATACTAAATCTTCAAGGAGAAAGCCAGAATCCAGAAAGTAGTTAGGCTGTTTTAAAAAGTGCTTCTTGGGGCGCCTGGGTGGCTCAGTCGGTTCAGCGTCCGACTTCAGCTCAGGTCATGATCTCACAGTTCGTGGGTTCGAGCCCTGCATCAGGCTCTATGCTGACTGCTTGCTCAGAGCCTGGGGCCTGCTTCAGATTCTGTGTCTCCTACTCTCTCTGCCCCTCCCCCGTTCACGCTTTGCCTCACTCTGTTTCTCAAAAATAAATGTAAAAAAAAATTTTTTTTTAAAAAAGTGCTTCTTGCTTTCCATGTTAGTAAGTTCATCCACCTCCTCCAGCCTCTCTCAGTTGCAGAGATTTTCTTTTCTTCATATGATATATATGTATGATATGTAATAGATTTATATAAGAAATAGGTCTCCAGAAGAACACCGTGCTTACCCATGGAGCCACCTGGATCTCACTGCTTATGATGGTCTTTACCATCATAAGTGAATAAAGTCCCATTTGATTCCATTTTTGTATGGATTTAGTTACCCTTGATTCATTATTGATCTCATGGAAGAAATGAAAACCCAGATAGGATCTCATCCTGGGGACTGTGTCTCTGCTTCTGAAGAGGTCCCACTGTTGGTTAGGAGAAACCTCAGACCTATGAGATCACATACGGTTGTGGAAATAATCTTGGGGTTCCACAATGCATGCAATTTAACCCCACACTCACACAAGTCCACAGTGCTCTCAGCCAGTCCTCAATAAATATTTGCTGTGTTATATAGTATGAAACAAATTTAAAGCTGGAAGAGCCCTTTTGAAAGGGTTTTTTAGTCCACTTCATTTTACAAAACAGAGGCTGTATCCAAGGGTACAGTATGGAACAATTAGGTAGTCAAAGAGCTGGGAGAGAAAGAAACCAGTTTGCTCATTTCCTTCCCCTGCCTCCTTGCTGCATGATCATTCTCCTGGGTAAAGAGAAAGTATCTAATGCAAGTCCAGCCACTTAGATCTCTGTAGTTTGGGTCTGTGAAAGCCATGGTCCAACAGTTTGATCGCCTGAATGGAGAGCTGTAATTTGTGTAAATATCTGACACCGTGGGCAGGAAAGGAGACTAAGGCTGAGCCACTGTTGTTCTACCTGCAGGCTCATCCTCCACTCACTGGTTTCTGGAGGAGGGAACCGAAGGTGATAGTGTCATCTGAACACCTACATGCATTTCTAAGGACTTTCCCCCAAGTAGCAAATATATTTATTACCCCAGATGGGTATCCCTTGAAGTCAGGATGAGTATAATGAGCATGACTCACACATTGTCTACAAAAAAAGATCACTGGATTTGGAAGACTTCTGGAGCTGGAAGTCCATGAAGGTGTTTGATGAAGGTTTTCTAGGCCAACACTCTGACAAGAAGTAAAGCA